GAAACTAAAACTGGAACCGAAACCGAAACCGAAGCCAAAGCCAAAAACGCAGGCTGAAATGTGGGCGAGGCCTAGGCGCAGCAGCAGCAGGTCCAAAAAGCGAAAAACAACAGCAGCATCAGCTTTAGCTTTAGCTTCAACAGCTCGACGACGACAACACCTCATGCCATTGGAATGCAATTTCACTTCTTTAAATATTTTCCCAATTGTTTTTTGTGCGTGTCTCTGGCTCAGCGTCTCGGATCTGGGTCTTCGGAATGGCTTGGATCAGGTTATTCCATATTCCATGTCCGCGATGCGAGGCATTCAAGTGCACTGAAAGGCCCCTATGTCATTTATTTCATTCAAACACTTACTATACAATGCTTAACTAATGATTAATTCATAAATCCTTTTGCTTTTCTGCATAAAAAAACCAACAAAAGTAGTTAAAGCTGTATCAATTTAATTAGCTCTTTAATTTTGCGGAAATATTCATTGCATTGTCCGGGTTAACTGACAATTAGTTTGGTTAATGCAAAACTTGACAGCTTGTCGATTGTTTTAACAATACAATCAACTTAAACGGTCCTTTCCTACAGAATAGTTTTTCAACACTTTATGGCAATTGATGTTAAACAAATTTACGAATACAATTTATGGAAACATTTTATTTACGATTTATTGTTACAAAGTGCTTTTTGTAAGACACGATTTAAAAAGAAATTTTGAATGAGGTCTTTTGTCAAAGTAATATTTATTGGATAGGTCAACAATGTTGATGAATTTAACTTGACTGCTTAGACTGAAATATTTTTAAAAACAACTTTTATTGAAATGCTCCATGATATTTAAAGATTATAAATGAGACATACTAATTTTTCGAATATTTGTTTATTTATTTCTTAGGCCAAGCTAATTTTAAAGTTATTTGGTTTGGAAACACTTGGCTTACGATTTATTGTTACAAAATGGTTTTATTAAGACTCGATTTTTAAATACACTTTGAATGAGGCTCTTGTTAAGGTAATATTTATTGGATGCAGATGTCTGTTTGACTTTTATGTTTTTCAAAATATCAACATCAAATTTTAAAACTGTTTAGTTACAAGTGCTGTGAATTTTTAACGTCATAATCTAAACAACAAGTGCACAACTATTCAACATTTAAGAGTTTTTTTTTTGAAGGTTTAACTCATCAGTTCGAGATTTGATTTATGTACATTTAAGATGACTATATTTGGATTGCCAAAAAATAGCTCTTGACAAAGAAAGTGATTTTGCTCCCATAATGAAGCCAGCTAGCCAAAAGAAAGTTACATTTAATTTATTGTTGAGTTATTACCTAATTTGTATTAATGGGTGTGCAGATGGCACTAATTTCAATAATAAATATTTGAAAATTCGTTTTCGTATTATATTTTAGTTTGTACAATAGGTTGGGCTCAGATATTATTTTAAAATAATTTATGCGTCATATCTTAACCATACTAATCCCAAAAAAATAGAAACTATTTATGGCTATTGAGGACATACTGCGATTAAAGGGAATTGGCAGTTCGGTTTTGGATGCAAGGCATGCCCGATTGGCTTCGCTCTGTGGACCCTTATCACCATCCAGCTGGAGGGCTCTTTCCGATGAACCCATTTAGAGCTCGAAACGAAAGTAGCCATCAACGCAAGACTCGAGGAAGTAAAAGCGCAAATAATTGCGAGCGACGAAAAACAAAAAACATATACCCACACATTCGCGTGGCACCAATAGATGTATATGAATATATACTATATATATAAGTGTGCAAGTAGATGTATATATTGGGGGATATTTTAAATGTGTAATGACAACAGATGCGGCCGAAAAATATTGCCACTCAGTTGAATGTTGCTGCTTGCATTTGCAGTCGCTGCTGTTGTTGTCCGATATTGCTGCTGCATGTTGCTAGTTGTTGTGACCAGTTGTTGTTGCTGTTGCTGTTTCTGGTTGCTGGTGACTGCTGCAACTGGTCACATGATGGCAATGCGGCACCCGCAAGATGCAACAGCAGGAAGTCGAAACTTGGCTGCAGCAGCAACTGTGAAGTAACCTGGCCAGGAGGGAAGAGGGTCACCAAATGGACGGCGTCTGGCGAATGGGTTGTGCGATTTTTCGAATTTCTTTAATACCCTAGCTAAGAGAATATGGCGTTTTTTGGTTTGCCTTGGGTTGCATCATCATCTTATGTCATGTTATATGATATATATTATTATGTAGATATAAAATTAAACTCTTCATTCAAAACAAAAGTTTTTGTAACTTAAATTGTATGTATAAAAAATTGCATACGATTTTATTACAGCGACAAATAAAAATATGTGAAAAAAAGAAGGCCTTATTCTGTTTTATAATTTAAGGATTCCCATTCTTAAAATTAAAATTTCCAACTTCAACAAAAGATCTGGGTCACGACCATATATCCATTGCACCCAAACATAAATTGTCATATAAACTTAACTATTGTTATATGAATTTTAAGCCAAAAGTATTAATTTAACACCACGAAAGTATCAACATATAATTTATTTCGCTTAAAATAAAACCTTGGACAACAGTGTTAAACTCCTCGTTGCAAAAGATGAAACTAAAATGGTTTGGGGTTATATTATTTAATATTGATATAATACTTCTAAGTTAATACTGGCGTAGTTTATTTCCAAGACACACATGAGGTTGAAATTTAACTGGAAGATACACTTTGGGAAAACCGAGCACTTGTTTACTACATGTTTTTAAAGTTGTGTGTTAAAATATCGATGTGACAATTTCGAGAAAATATGTCAGCTTTGTATTGTATTAGGGTAGTGCGCTATTCAGTGCCAAATTCCAACCACTTTTCTTGTTTTTTGTTAGTCAATAAGGGAAGAAGGAGTGGACTCCCAATTTCATTCCCCAATTCGAGAAAGCCAGCGCGTTTCTTTCCCGTTTTCTGGGTTTTGTTTTGGCTGGAGTGTCTTGAGACAGCCATGACGATCATGATGATCTCATGACGATGATTACGATGATGATGGTGCTGGTGCTGGGATGGAGATGAGGATGATGATGATGATGATGAGGATGATGGTGTGGCCGCCGCCAAGGCAAAACACAAATTCAGAGAAAAGAGTGGCCCAAGAAATGCAAATGAAAGCGAAATCGAGTCACGCGAAGGCCGCGCATCTCCATCGCCATCTCCTACTCCCCAAAAACTCAAGACCGGAGACTCGAGTCTCAAGACTCAAGACTCAAGTCCCCCCCCTCTGGTCTCCAAGATGATAACTTGATCTCTCGAGCGGCTGCAACTTCTTCAACAAGTTGCCTGGCGAAGCACTTTTATGACTCAACTTTGTGGAAAAGCAGCGCCGAAAGAGGAGAAAAAGTGTCGGACACTGCGGCAAGTGTGTTGACATTGTTCTACTGCCAGTTGGCCCATTAATGTGCCTCATGAATATCGCTGCGCTCTGCAAGCCAGAAAATCTGCCTGGCTTTCGGCGGTGACCAGACTATTAAGTAATATGAAATGGAAATTATGTAAATACTACATACATATTAATCGGAGTAGAAATGGAGTCCATACCGACGTTTTAGTGGGCATCAAATGAATTTAACATCGGAATTCAAACAGGGTAGAAATGACATTCGATGAATGAAAGGTTGTAAAAAGTGGAAGTGTTTTTAAATTGCTTTTAAATTAGTCGATGTCGGATAATGACTTTTGTCAAAGGCCATTCTTAACAAAAATATAAAATAAGAAAAAGAGAAACCAGCTTTATTACTCTTGAGCAAGTATGTATAATTTAGATCCTAGTTAATTCCTTGTTCACAATAAATATATGGCAAAAAACTGAGTGAAGTGAGAACATTAATAAATTATTTAATTTATACCAATTATTTTAAGCAATAAAACTACTTCAAAATCTTCATGACATATTCAATTCAATATGCCACTTTTTAAACATCCACATAACTTGGTTTAAATTTACAAAAGTTTAAAACTAAAATTGCCATATTTCAATTCAGTAACATGTTATAATATGTATGTATACTCCTAACAAAAGCGGAAAGGAACTAAAATACAGGCTTTTAAATAACCTATCAGTTTTCGTCAATGCCAATTATAGGATGTAAGTCACAAAAGCAATTAAGAAACATAAAAATATGCTAAATAAATAATTACCAATTTTAAACTTTTGTTGCCTGCATTTTTTAAATGCTTAAATAATTCTTTTAGCAGAAAATGTATCAAATTTTATAAAAGCCAAAAACCATTAGGCAAATCAAGCAAAAATATAGCGAAAAAGGGTAATGTTTAATATTTTTTTCTCCAAAGGCTGCGAAAAAATAGGACAAACAAAGCCCAAAACCGCCCAGATTCCCGGATGGCACTTGCAGTGTCATCACTTTTCGATTATGAGGAAGCACGGTCGTTTGGAAACCCATTAGGTCCGTAATATTTACACTGTCAACAACCAGAGAAGCCAAAACCACTCGAAGATCGCGTCTGAGGCGTCTGAGCGGCGTTCAAGGCTCTGAACTTTGACAAGGATCTTCAACTATTCAACTCTTCAACTTTTCAACTTCGACTCGCGAATGACACTTGGCATCGTCATCGGTGCGCCGGCATCGTCATCATACTCGAGTGCCCCATGTGGCAAGGTTGTGGCAGTGGCTGTGACTCCGACTCCAACTGCCAGATGCTCCAATGCTCCGATGCTCCGATGCCAAGGTACCGATGTGAAAATGCTGCAAAACTGGTCGCGAGAGGGAAAATCTCTCGGCTGCTGTCCCTTTTTGCTCGGCACCTTGCTCCGGCTCATTTGGGTTTTACGTCTTTACGTCTCTGAGTTTACGAAATTTCTTCACTTTCGGTTTCGATTCGGTTTCTTCAGCTTACTCGGCTTTTTTTTTTTTCTTATTTGGTTTCTTCGGTTTCTTCAGTTTTTTAGCGGCTGCGCAGCGGCAGAGAAGTCGACGTTTGGCCGGGCTATTACCTATATGAGCTGGCGTTATCATCTGAGCGGCAGCATTTTCAACTCGCGACTGACAAGCAGCGGACGAGCGTCGCCGATCCGTTGTCGAGAAGAGATCCGATCAGATCAGATCCCAGATCCCTTGCGATCCTAACCGATCCAAACCGATCCAAACCGAACCGAACCGATTCGAACCGTTCCGAACCGATTACGCGTTCCGTGAGTGCCGCGAGTTTTTCGAATTCGTTTTTTTTTTTTTTTGTTATTTTCTACAATTTTCAACGGATCCTTACTGTGTGCAGTGTGCCGGCCTTTATCGAATCGAATTAGTTGCATTTTTTTGCGAGTGCCCAGTGCCGAGGATAACCCACAACACCATTAGCAGCTGGCATGGTAAAGAATCGTGTTTCTAATTGGACTCGAGTGCAAAGGATTACGGAAGAAACTCAAACACAAGCCCAATTAGGAGAAAAGTCCACGCGACTCAAGGGAAATGCCAGCGAAAGTAAAAGTTACCCATCCCTCGGGGCAGATAGATTTCCCAAAACTTTGAAAAAATCCAATACACAGAGGATAATTTTGGCATTTTAATAGATAGATATACAATTTTGGAAATTATAAATAGTTGTAGTTACTTTATCAGGTTCAAAATGATGCATTTTATCTATAAAGTAAAATTTGGTGCAAGGATTTTGTATGTCTAAAATATCACAAAAACAAAAGGAAAGAAAGAAAAAGTTTAGTGTTTATTAGATGAAAATATCGTAGGTACACAGAGAATCATTTTGATATTTTGTTCGAAAGATTTGAGGGCTATGAAAAGATACAATTTGGTGAATTACGATATTTTATATATAAAAAACAATAGGAAACACAAGTTTGTTATTCAATGTGTAAATGAACATAAAAAAAGTATAAATATGTTTTTGTAGTTTAAAAACTACCATGTGTTGAGAATTGGCTGACAAAATACTAATACTTAAATACGAGTTAGTAATTTTTCGTGCAGATGTATGTGACTTGGCTAGGCACGCCTGCGCCTTGGCCTTTGACCTTGTGACCCGACCTCTGCTAATTGATGAGGGTTGCCCGGCAGCAAACGAAAATTGATGCAGGACCGGGCTCGGTTGGGAATGCCTGTTAAATCCTGGCCCAGATTATTCATTTGCTTAAAAGGGGACAGGGACAGGGCCAGGAACAGGGACAGGGAAGCCTGCTGACATAATTTATTCATTATCGAAATTGATTCATAAATAATTTCGCATTCACATTTGCCCGCTTTTTGGGCTTGGCGGTGGGGGAAATTTAATTAACGCAGATTACGATTCTCGACTTTTGGGCCAGAGCAGGCAGCTGTGGCCAAAACTTAGGGCCCTGTCTCTCGGGCAACCCTTTGGGCATTTCCGAAGTTCGCTTCCTGAACAGGCCCGTTTTCCTGCCCCTGATTTTTGTGGCGTCTTGTTCATCTTCGAACTACATTTTTGTCTTCTCAGCGAGAGTGAAAGTTTCGCCGGGCCGACTGTTTGTTTTTTATTTGTTTGTTATTTGTTATTTTTTGTGTGTGTGTTTTTTGCCGTTGCTGCTGCTGCCCGGGCCTGCTTTTCATTTGTTTACCGTCTAGCGCTGTTGTCAATTGTTTAGCATCAATAACAAATATTTGTGGCCTATGCTAATGAACAGAAATCGAACGCCGGCCAAAGAAAGCGGCCCCGCAGCCCGTGACTGAAGTAGTGATCGCCCGCGTGAACTGTGACCAGTGACCGGTGGTGAATTGAAGTTCACATATAGTTAAAATCACAATTATAGGTTTTTTTAAGGCGAATATTGGATTTATGTTTTTTGCCAAGTTGTTGAATTTATTTTGGATTTTAATTAATTACATTTAAAGTTACTTTCATTTTATTACCGTTTTTGCTAAAAATATATATTAAATAATTAATATACACGTAGTTATAAATATTGAAAACGGTTCAAAATGAAAGAAATTTTAGATGTAAATTATTTAATTTATATCAAATTTAACTATATATATATTAAAACACACAAACATTAAGGTCCGCAAAAAAAACGAATAATTTGGCTCAAGGTTTTGCCTTAGTTTGTGCTTTAATTCACTTTCTTTTTAATTGGGCGGTTTTAATTTATATATATCCATATAAGCATAGATTTTATTTAGTTGTTTGTAAATGCCATTAAAAGGCGTATGGGAAAGACAATTTTGGTTATCGTTGTTTTAAATTTCTTTTCAAATTGAAGACCAATTGCATTGGACTTGGCAATAAATATATAGGTCGGTACTGCTATTTTGAGCACAACTGTACACATGCGACCACTGACTTAGTAACTCATATACAGGGTACAATGTCTATGGAAAAGCACTTGAATGGAATTGAGTTGCAAATGCTGGCCACATGCGGGTCACTTCACACGCTTCACAGACAATGGGCACAGTCGACCCCCTCCGCCCCAAAAAAATACCCATCAGCCCCGCCAATGCCCACACCATCACCCCCTTTAATTGTTTGCCATTTCTTTTATAATGTATTTTCATTATGCGGCGCATAATTTCACTGCCAACATTTGTGACACCTACTCATCCCATCCCATCCCATCCCATCCCATCCCCACGAAACGAACCTCACAGATACGCAGATACATGGAGAAACACCACCCGGAGCCAAGTGAAAGTTACCTTTTTTTTCGGCTTGTCGTATCTTCTTCTTCTCCATTTCGACCGCTTATGACATTTTAACACCGCCGCTGGCCAAAAAGGCAACAGAAAAAGTAACAACACATTTTGTGGCTTATTGTGATACTCGTATTCAATGCGCATCGCTGACCATTGAGGTGCACTTTTCCATTTCCAAAGATTGCTGATTGCCGACATTATGCAATGCAGTCGTAGCAAATGGCATAATAACCTGGCCATTACGCCTGCCACGCAGATTATGGGTTGGTTCTTTCAAATTCGGGTATCGTATCTCAGGCAGAAATGACTATTATGTAAGGTAGATGCATAAGAGAATTTGGGCCATCATTTCATATTGTACTTAAAACATCAAGTCAATTGAAGTGTGGGTTATAGAATAGAAAAGCTTTAGGGAAAAAAGATTTTAACTACATATGACTCTTAAGAAATGTATTATAAAATAAATTTATAAATTCTTTATAGATTGAAGGGGACAACAAAATATTTTTACATTTTAGTTATCTAAGTTATATTTCAGTATTCCAATTAATTTCATAAAATAAGAATTTGCACTTTTGGAAAATAATGAAGATATAAAACTTCAGAGCAAAGTTGCTTAAATAAATATGATAATAATCATTAAAATTATATAAATCCCTAGCTCTATTATTCATAATTCATAATAACTCACTTATCTAAGATACCTTGAATAATAGAGTTGTCCGAATAGATATGCCATTTAAAAGCCATGATTCACTGGGCCTTTAACTTACTCATCTCAGATACCTTCACCTCTTACAACACTCCAATCACTTTCTTATGTAAGGGCATTCCAGCTTCGTCACCTTTTGCGGCCGATCCGCGTGCTTTAGCTATTTTTTGTATTTTTATTGGCATTACCGGTGTCGTACTGCGGTTAAATCGCGTGTTGTGCGTTGAATTTTGAAAGAAGCGCCGTTTTGATATTGTTTTGGCCCGTTTTGAGTGGCTGTGCCTGTTTGTTTTGCCGCAGCATTTGTTGTTAAACATAAAACCAATTAAATGGCCCCGTCCGTCTTGGCCAATGGTTATTTTTAGTTATTTCTGTGCTTTTGTTTTGGTTTTTGAGTTTTATTTCACTGGCACGAAGTCGCCATTCGCCTGCTGAATTATTGATGATCATGATGAGCGGCGGCGACATCCATGCTGATGACGATTGCGATGATGATGACGATGATGGTGATGGTGATGGTAATAATGGTGGCGAGTCTGCCCGGGTTATGTTTTAATTAGAGCGTAATACGCCAACGTTTTCTGGGCAACCGCAATGCCAATTACACCACGCAACAAACTTGGCCTTAATGGATCAATTAGCGCGTCCTCGTTGGCCAAAATAATTAATGAAAATTGTGTTATGGCAATGGCAGATTTGGCAATGTTTTTTTTTTGCTTTTTAAATAGGAGTTAACTCAGTTTTAGGTCATGTATTACAAATTTAAGTTGCATTTTGAAATGAAGTGCACAATTTAAATATTTTAAAATATAATTGTCAATTATTTAATTAATGAAAACTGTTTGGAGAGAGTCGCAGGAGGTTTTTAATAATTGATGTTAAATAGTTTGTAGGTCATAGAAAGAAAACATTTCTTGAAGTTTCTTGTTTAAAATATGAAATTAACTGCGCAATTAAAATGATTTGTAATAAACTTTTAAGATACTGGCCAAAGTAATCAATGAAAGCTGTAATTAAACATTTTTTTAAATTTATTTAATTAAGTGTGTTATGAAAATATTTTGTAAAAAAGTTGTTGGCCAAAATAATAAGACATTTAAAAACGGCCCGAAAATGATAAATACATATGATATAATGTGCTTAGTCTCTCAATTTAATTCTATATACATACGTTTTCTGTCATAAAATTTGGTTAGGAAATGTAAGTGCTTATTAAAAATATAAACCTAATGGTTTCTGCTTAACTACGCCCTTAACCTTGCTGCACAGTGTTGACAGGCCTGGTAAATGGAGGCAGGTCGGAGGTTTGCAAATTAGCGCAGATTATGGTTACATACTAGGGCGGGGGCAGCCCACACACTCGCACACACTCGGAAAACGACACCTGGCAGAGGCTGGCGAATGAACCCAGGACCTGTGACCTCTGAAAAGCCTTGACAAGTTGCCGGCGGCCAAAAAGGTCACCGAGACAGCTGACAAATGAGACGCGGCCGAAGGGGTTGACAGCTGAGGTCGTGGATGGGGATTCAGATTCGGATTCGTACTCGGATGTGGCTGAGGATGGAAGGAACTAGAGACACTTTGCGCGAATGCCACTCCATGAATATCACGATGTCGGTTGGCCGAACAAACCATCACATAACATATTCATTTGTTATCTCTCAACAAAAAAAATTAACTCGCCTTATGCAACCGAAACAATTTATTTATTTATTTAAATTTTACATTTTTTTTTGGCTTACTCTAAACTTTTTAAATTTACACTACATAGCCTGTAATTTTTAAAGCTAAAAAGTTGGCTGGTTCTTTAGTCAGGGAAATAATTTTAATCAATTTAATATGTAATTTTAATGTTATATGAACTAAGAGCTCAACCAAAGTTATAGCTTTTTTGTGCCTACATATTTTTTAAAAACATTAATATGTTGATGTAATCTTAAAAATGTTAATATGGCTATGAATACGTGAAAAAAGGGTACTCCAATATTTGATGTCCCATAAAACAACGAATGAGTAACTATTTTTCTTGTCATTTTAATAGGGTTAAATATTTTTTACGTGTCTTATGAACTGAATATTTTGAGTAATGTTTCTATGAGTGCGTCCCCTTGAGGAGTTCAACTTCCGGTCCAATCGCTCGTGGCCATTCGTTACCCGGCTAGATGCCATCTTGACAAATGACCTACATTGACCCACATTTTCCGCCTTCCTGTCCATTCCGTAGATGCTGCTCCGCCTGACTTTGCTGGCCGCCTGCTGCTTCTGTGCCGCCCAAGCGGTGCTCAGCGGCAAGGAGCTCAAACGCCGCGAGGCGGGATTCGACACCTACGGACCGCCTCCGCGCCCCGCCCCCCAATACGGACCTCCGCCCCCACAGCACGTGCCTCATCGGGAGTACGGCGTGCCGCAGCAGATTCCCTTCCGGGAGTACGGTCCACCTGCCCTGAAATACGGACCACCCAAGCTTAACTTCCTGGGAGGAGGAGGCGGCGGCGGCGGCGGCGGAGGTGGCTCCCTGCACGAGCAGATCAAGACCCACTTTGGAGTGCCCAAGCCCTTCTACGGACCCCCTCACATCCAGCACAAGCCCGCTCCCCAGTACGGTCCGCCCAAGCCCGCTCAGCAGTACGGACCACCACCTCAGCCCGCTCCTCAGTATGGTCCGCCCAAGCCAGCTCCTCAGTACGGACCGCCACCGCCGCAATACGGCCCACCACCACCGCAGAAGATCCAGCACCGTCCGGCACCACAGTACGGACCCCCGAAGCCCCAGTACGGACCGCCGCCACCACCGCCGCAGCTGCTGCCCTCGCCACATGCCGCGCCCCTCTTCAAGCCCGCCCACCAGCCGGCCACCTCGTACGGACCGCCTGCCTCCGGACCACTGAACCTGCCGCCCAAGCCCATCTACGATGCCCCGCCGCCAAACTACGGACCTCCGCCGTTGCCCGTTGCCCTGCCCGGCAACGGACCACCGACCACCACGATAATCCTGAGCGGAGCCGGACACTCCGGACACTCTGGCTTCACCGGACCCAGTGGCCCGGGGCCCCTGAAGCAGGTGCAGATCCAGATCGACGCCTCGGGACACACGCACAGCGTGAGTGGATCCCAGGCACCCTTCCACACGGCCTGCGACGGCTGGAAGCCCATTCCGGCTCCAGTGGGCGCCTACGTGGAGCAGAACCACATCGAGACGCAGGGTGGGTACAGCCAGGTGGCCCAGGGACATGGCGGATCCTTTGGCACGCAGTACAGCCTGGGCGCATCCACTGGATCCGGATCAGGATCGGGCAGTATCATCGATGGACTCTCCGACGAACAGCTGGTGGCGGTGGCCCTTCAGGGAGGAGGCGATGGCGCCCATTTGATCACCGGACCCGGAGGCAACTCCATCGAAGCCGAAGCTCTGCAGGTGAGTTGCTGGTACTGCATTGAACACTATTGAATAGGTAGAGCCTATACATTTAACAGCTGTGGTCAAAATATTAGTAGAGGCAAAATGTAAAATGCCAAAGAGAGGACTTTTATTTAATATATCATATTTGACAAAATGATACTGTTTTAGTTTTTTAAGCAAATTAAAAGCTGTTTATAATTCACTTTTCACTTTTCAAATTGACTTTTCAATACACAGTACTTAACGATTTTTAAACAATTAATGATAATAACCATCATTCCTTGTTCATCATTACTTTGTATTGGAATAAAAGTGTTTTTAATGTTTTTTTAATAACATTTTTTTAATAAACAATTTTTTTTTTTAATTTTAAAGCATTTTACCTTTTTAGCGTGTTTTTTTATGTTTACCACATTTAGTTAAAAAATAAAAATATTTCCGCTAGCCTATTTTTGATAAAAAATTTAAGCTTAAATAAGCTTAAAAACTATTTTTTTTTGAACGCAACATTATATTCTTGATCAGGATTAATAGCCAATACTAGGTAATTATAAAAGCAGCGCAATCTTATTTTAAGATGCAGGGGCATTTGAATTTAGCTCTCCTTCCTGTCAGTCTTCAATAAACATACTAATTCTGGACTCCTTTCAGGCCGCAATTGGTTCACTGGATGACTCGTACTCCAAGCCACCGTCGGATTCCTTTGCGCCCGGCTCCGTGCATGCCCAGAAGTACCAGACCATTGGACACTCCGAATCTTCATCGTCGTCAGGCGGCAACTATGGCCCTCCACCCCCTCCCCCGAGTGGCAACTACGGACCACCACCACCTCCGCCAAGCGGAAACTACGGACCACCACCACCTCCCCCATCCGGGAACTATGTACCACCACCGCCTCCTCCATCAGGCAACTATGGACCACCACCACCTCCGCCCAGTGGAAGCTATGGACCTCCCCCAAGTGGCAACTTTGGACCACCACCACCCCAATTTGCCGCCCTCACCAGCAGCAGCAGCAGCAGCAGCCACGCCCACTCCCAGTCGAATGTGAACATCCAGTACGGACCGCCATCCGGAAATCCGCAGCCATTCCCGCAGCACGGAGCTGGTCAGCCCAACAAGCCCGTGGCCTATCGTCCGCCAGTGCCCGCTGGCCTCTTGGAATCGATTGGCGCCACTGTGCAGCATCTGGATCAGTTTGGAGTGAAGCCGCAGCAACAGCCTGCCACGTACATTCCGCCGGCGGCCAATGAGATCGCTCTGGCCGGTTCCGCACCGCCATCGCTGCCTGCCCCACAGGCCCTGTATCAGCCACCACCTCCACCGCCTCCCGCTGCTGCTGCTCCCCAAGTGATCCTGCAGCAGCAGCTGCCTGCTCCTCAGCCAGGACCCTCGTTCATCCACCAGAAGCAGTTCGGACCACCGGGACCACCACCGCCGCCGGAGCCCCAGTACCTGCCGCCTCCAGTGGCCAATATCCGGCCCGTGGGACCACCCCCACCGCCACCACAGCAGCAGTACCTGCCCGCCGCTCCACCACCGCCAATCTTCTTCCAGCAGCAGCAGCAGAACCAACACCACCACCATTCGGAAAACAGCTACAGTGCCTCGCAGTTCCATGCCCAGGGACTGCCACTGCCGCAGCAGGCGCCCCGCTTCAATCTGCAGCAGCAGCAGCAGCAGCAGCCCATCATTGTCCATGACTGCGGACATGGCCCGAATCTAGTGAGCAGCAATGGCTACCAGGTGCAACAGCAGCAGCAACAGCAGCAACAGCAGCAGCAGCACTTTGGCAGCATTTCGGCCGCATCCGCGGGAGCTTACAATGCCATCTCGCAGAGCATTCCGGTGGCGGAGCAGCACACCCAGCAACTGGTGACGGGTCCGGCGGACAGCTATGGTCCACCACCCTCCGGAAACGATTTGGACTACGATCACGCCGGCTATGCCTCGCAGAAGAATGCGGTGGCAGCACTGCCCGATGGCACGGATCCCCAGCAGTTGCCCGGATTGGATGGCCTCGACGTCCTCTCGGCCACCAAGTCACAGAGCATCCAGCTGAATGGTCAGCAGCCGACGCAAAACTTCCAGGTGCAGTTTGGGGGATCCCTGAACAACAACCCCAGTGCTTCGAATGGCGATGCCAACCACGAGGAGATCTTGTCGCAGGGTCTGCTGCAGTCCATCCTCACGGCCATCGAGCAGCCCAGTCAGCAGAATCTGCCCCAGAACCACAAGGCCCAGAGTCGCTCCGACGAGCATGATCAGGTCAGGGATCACGATCATGAGGATCTGGATCAAGGCAATGATGAAGATGAGCCCAGCTCCAGCTCCTCCAATCGCGTGGAGGTGCGTGTGCTGCCCGAGAATGGCGACAACGAGGAGGAGACTCCCGCCGAGGTCAAGGAGATCGAACCCATCGTGGTCAACGAGGAGGAGGCCAAGCATTAGTCAGCCCCAAACAACACTAGTTACATCGAACTCATCAGCGCCGCTTGAACCTATTTATTGCTGCCTCATCTTCATCAACTGTAAGAGCTGAGCTCCAGCTGTCCCCCAGTTGCCATAAAGTGAAAGTCCAGGGGACAGGTGGGGGGTACACCCCACACTACAATACACCAAACACACACTACACACACACACATCTTACACACACCCACAATGAGAACAAAGAAGCTACCATTGACATGCGCTGCAAAGTGCCTTTTCATGCTCGCAGCTCTCGTGTATAAAAATTATTTAAAGTAAATAATTAATTTATTATAGCATTGTATTGTATTTTATGCTTTAAACAACAAATAAATATGTATGTATACAAACAGAAAAAAAAAAGCCAAGTCGAGAAAGCCAAGTGCAAGTCATCCGAAATCGCAAGTGAGATAGGGCCAAACACAAAGAGCCAAGTCAATGGCAATGGCCAAGAGGCGAAAAACTGCAACGATGCTCGAAGGCAAATCAACTGTGGGCGGCAGGGGCGATCAGGGGGCGTGGCTGCCATTCAAATGCCGCCCTGTGGCCAAAGTACCAGTGTTAACGAACTTGTAATACCTATACCGATGGTACACTGAAAGTACAAAGCTGGAAATTATCATACCTCAAACTGTTTAACATGTGAATGTCATTAGTGGTGAATTAAATTTTCAAATTATGATATTATTTGCATTATTAATGAAAGTCCAAGTATATAAAATTCATCTTTATTTCAAAAGTAGGCGCATCAAAGTTTGGAGTCATCTGGAGTTTTTATGAAAACCAGTACCTAATATTTAAAGATTTTATGGTATTGAAAAACGTTTGAAAGAAATTCAAAGCGATATATTTTAAGCCGGTTAAGGTATAAAAAAAATCGCTTAAACTCTTATAAAAAATTGGCATAGTAAAAAAATTATACTCATTTTTATTTATGAGCATTTCATTACTCTTTATTTAATAGCAGGGATTAAGAATCCCTAAAATGTTTTAACAATTAAAAACTTTTTACCCAATGAGTATTTAATCTTAATTATTTCATAGGACATTATTGCATTTTTTTTTCATGCTTCCCCTTATCGTTCTAAGGTTAATTAACAATTTTTCAACTTCTGGCAGAAGTTAACCCTTTGTCCTCGAGTTTTTTCACGCTCAATTCCGATTCCGCTGCCAATTCCATTTCAATTCTAAGGTATCCGCATCCGTATCCGCATCCGTATCCGCAGTGGAACGGACTCCCAATTTTGGCCGGCCAAAGAGCAACAAATAAAAGACATAAAATTAATTAAATTAGCCATAAACAAAGCGAAAGGTGATTAATTAACTAGAAATTTATACCGTTATATAACCGTGGGGAAAAAGGCATGAAAGACGTGCCCAGTTTCTAGGGTTGAGTTCCGTCCCAGGGGGTGGTGGTTGGGTGGGTTTGGGTGGTGCTGAGGGCCGGTGAGTGGGTGGTTGGTTACTTACCCATTCATTAAAATTTGGTTGCTTCAGTTTGGGCCTGAACCTGGGCTCGCCTTGCTGCTGATTTCCTTTCGTTCGCCTACACTGAGACAAAAAAACAAAAACACCCCCAAATAAAAAAAAAGGAGATCCTTTAATAAACAATAATTATATAAATGATAAAATAAAAATAAAAATAGGGTTATTCGCAGTAATAAGACGTGTTTTAATATTTGTGCCATTATTTTAGTGAAACAAAAATTATTTTTAGTTTTGGTCTACCGAAAACTTTTTCATTAACATTATGTGTTAATAAGCTTAACCATAGTTATTTCTAAAAATGGTTTTTTAGAAAACTTTTTCGTTAATGACCACAAAACAAGACCGATAGATCTAATTCCTCAGAATTTTTCTCTGTGTATACTATCGCGGGCTGTGTTCTTACTTCTACTTCATTTTTGCCCCATTTGCGTTTCGCGTAGCCGCTACCTTTGTTTGCCAAGGCGTCGAAGGGAATGCCGGACGGAAGGCTCTTCAGACGGACGAACAGACAGACGGACGGACAGAAATACGGACGAACAGACAGACGGACGGACAGAGGCCAATGGGTAGTTGGCGAACGGAAAAAACGGGAGGAAATGGTCCGCTGGCAGCGCTTTCATTCAGTTTGCGCTCTTTTAATTAATGTTATTAAAAAGTCAAAATGAGCAGCACCTATAGAACGACTTTGAAGGTGTGTGGAGGCCCTTATTTTGGAGAATGGCAAGGGCAATTGCATACAATGCTGGTGAATACAGCATCTATGACGACAGGAAAAGTTCGGATTTATACAAGACTTTAGTTACTCCGCAGACGAAAATCATTTTCTATTGCTCAGCCCAACTAAGAATTATCCCGACTCAGAAAAACCAAATTGTGCAGATTCGATAGGGTATTGCTGAATTTTTGAAAGTGCTACGACAAATGTAAGTATTATCGGGAACCCTTACTTAAAGTCTTAGGCAGATATTAATAATGCGAAAGTATTTAATTTCTGAAATTTAAATTTTGCTTAAAATTATTATAGGTTTAGTAAAAGTCTCTTAAAAACAAACTCGGACAGTAGTAAAGTATGTATGTATGAATTTGATACAAAAAAGCTTCACTATTTTGTTTTATTTCTAGACGAAGAGTCCAAAACTGAAGCCTAAGGCCTTTTTTGGAAACCACATAGGTTTCGTTTCTAAAACTTAGTGGTATTAATTTAATCCTCATCCTATTTAGAAATTATTTAACAACCAATAGTATTAAATATGTGTAACAATAGTTTAGTTTCTATGACAATTTTTTTTTTGGGTGTAATATTGAAAAGTTAAAAAGTAAAGACCTAATTTGATTTTATAACAAATAATGCGTTCTGTAACACTTATCTTCCAACGATTGGCGAATATGCCAAAATATGTTTTAAATAAATAATTGCATTGATTTTCTGACTCTGCAATTTGTATAAAAATATACAAGCATTCTTGTTTTCCCATCATCTGCGTCAACTTTATAGCCTGTATTTAACATTTGAAGCTTTTTCTTGTGTACGTTTCCAACTGCATTGCGGCTTATATTCGAAAATTCTTGTAGGTCTACCTTAAAGTCATGCAGCAAGCTTCCAGACACATCACTCACTTTTATATCAGACACGTTCAATCTCACTGCAAATTAATGCTGGTAGACTTCTCCATCCGAATGCCCTTCTTGGGAATAATTATTCCGCAAAACAGTGGGGCTCAAAGGACCCACAGAAGCCACCGCTGCTCCGAAATACTCTGTATTGAAATTCACGAGGACCCATGTGGACAAGTTGTTGCATGTATTTGCTGTGGTTTCGCTCGAATTTCACTTATTTCCATTAACTTTCGCAATTTGACTTTCGCCATCGCCATGGCCATCACCATCGTTGAAGCCAATGCCTGATCGGCTGCCAATTGTGTAAATTTGTCATTTCAGTCAGCGAAAAACGCGAAAATTGTAATTTGCAGCAACAATTGAGGGAAAGTGGTATTTTGATTAATCGTCGATTTGCATGCGAATGCGGGAATCCAACAAAAATCCAGCCAAGAAAATCAATCCATATAAAAAGGAAAAAATTGAATAAATACTTTGGGTGGAAACGGTCTTTGGATACTCTGAAAAATGTATTCAGATATTAAAATATTTTTAAATTGAAGCAATAAATTAAATGATGGCTTAAGTTTTTGTTACGCTTAGCCTTTAAATTATAAAAAAAACAGGTTAAGTGATAGGAATAATCAAATAAATATAATAAATAACAATAATTTAAGAATACGTGACTGCTAGGGGCAGTTTTTAATGCAACATAAAATTCTTTTTGTTGATGTTTTGAAAGCCCAAGCCCAGTATATCCCCTTCTTGCTGAGTATAAAAACAACTTCCGGCAATATAAAACTATTGAGAGTGAGGGAAACCAGACCGTGCGAGTGGTAAAATAAGAAGAACAACAGCAGGCATTAAAGGGAAGCGCGCTGAAAATGGTGTTGATTTTCCTGCATTTTATTGTTGCGTTTTTTGCCCTCTCTTGATTTTTATTTGCCATGCGGTGTTTGAAGGGGAGTCCGGCCTGTTTACACGGCGTATACGTAGTACGCATTACGTATACGCAGCACGCATACGAGCGGTGGCTGGGAAATGCGGGTATCGGGATGCGAAAAGCGTAAAAAGAAGAGCGAGTGGTGTTGGTCCTGCACTTAGGTATTTGCCCAGCGCCAATGCATTGGCCATTTTATATGTTCGCCTCGGATCGGTTTCTTGGCTATGTTTTTGGGATGCTCTATAGGGGGGGTCAAGGCAATCGGGCAAACGGTCCGCCTACTTTGGCGAATGCTGGTGTTTGTTTGCTCTGGTCACGCAGAACTGGGCGACCCTAATTACAGTTAATTGGTGCCTGCTGGGGGAACGGGAAGGACTTTCCGGCTGATGGGCCAAAGCTTATACGCACTGCGCGACAGGGCAAAAATACACAATTTTCCACTTTGTACTAATCAAGAACTCATTATCCTTCATTATGCTTTTCAAGTTGCCGTGTCGGCGACGTTCTTCCGCCCTCCTCCTGCCCACATCCTAATGTCGCCGGCGCAGCTGCAATTGCAATGCGTCGACGCCGGAGACGCGAACCTTGCCCCGACACTGGAAAAAAAGAATTACCAACATTGGCAATTAAATTTGCCATATATTAACGCAAAAGAAACAATGCCTTTTATTAAGAAATCTCAAGTTATGGTGTATTTTATGTCAATTATATAAAATATAAATTGGCTAAGGGGTTTTAATCACTTGTAAATTTCCATTCCGAACTTTTTATTGTATAATTTATATTTTGTTCGATTTTTTGTCGATTTTTTTTTTAAATATGATTAATAAGAGTGCTACAGAAATCTTTAGGCTTTGTAAAATTACATTATAAACATTATACATTCATGTATGTTTATAACGACAACGTTTCTTTTCTCATTGCCTTTTTTAGGCACCTATTATAGAGAGCTAAAAAACTGATTTCACTGATCATTTGATAATTTTGATTAATGATTATGATGATTCAAAGAAGATTTTTTTTTTATATATTTTTAGAGGCTTTTTTTTGCACCTATTATTAAGAGCTAATAATTGTGTTTAGTGTGATAATAATCTCTTTACGATATTAGGAAAACTAATTATTCAAGGAAGTTTTTCTTTTTGTGCACCTCTCTATATTATTCTTTCGCTGGCTCCACGGGAATCATCATTCATGTGGTCGGTCACTCCGGTTTGGCTTGCTTTGCTCTGCTTTGCTTGGCGAAAGGGAACCCGCAACTGCTGAGCTTAAATTATGCACAATTTTATA